TTTTTTTTTTTACTAATTTTTCAATTACTTTTTTTCGTGCATTCAATGAGGAATAGGGTTAAAAAATTTCTATTAAATAATAATATCGATGTAAAATTACATTATCAATAATTATTCACATACGATAGAAAATATTTTAGGAATATTCAAGAAATTACTGAAGCGTCGTATTAATTTTATGCCAGGTCAATAATTTTCCCCAAGCTTAAAGGCTCTTCTCAAAATTTTCAAACTTGCTAATTCAGCACAAAAATGTTACTATAGCTGGTAAAATAGAAAAAGTGATATATAATAGGTCAAGTGGATTGTTCTGGTTAACTGATCATATATTAAAGTTAATAGTATGTACTTTAAATTTACGTTCTCTCTAACAGAGTGAACGGAGAACAAACATGATGATCGATTTCACGAAACAGGCACGAAAATCTCTTGGAATTTTATTTCGCGTGTTTCGAGTGTCAAGAGAAAGAATTAAAAATCATTTTTAAAATTCAATTTTAAAAATTTTTTTTTGCAAATCTAATTCAGCAATTAAAATAAAAATTATAAATTAAAAATTTATACAACTTATTGTATATACAAAACAATTTTTTATAAATATATTACACCGATGGTTAAGAATTACGGTGTAATTTTTCAATGTAAAATATTACGTTTCCAAACTTAATTTTTAATCACAATATTTTATAAACTATATCACCTTTTATTATATTAGAATCTTTTTTGAATATTAGCCACTTTATTTATCATTCAATAATATATAAACAATCAATATTAAACAAAATTCAAAGTACATTACTATATCCATCTATCTATCTATAACTATTCTTCAATAATAAATATTATGAATATTAACTATTTTATTTAGCAATTAATTCAATTCACGATCAATAAAATAAGTTTTACAAGAAATATTAGTAATAATCTTCTTATCTTCCAATATATTAATATATTTTAAGCTTTCTTCTTCTTCATCACGATCGATGAACACTTCTCTCTGAATAACGAAACTTTTAAAATTATATTGGAAAGATCAACGACCCAAAGATTCTTCCAAAACATTCAAACGACATCGAGGCTTCCTCCGCGTGTCCTCGAAAATTCTCAGCCTCTTGTTAGAGCGCAACGTCACAGTTTCATGAGGATCCAGTTTCAGAGTCAAGCACTTAAAAGCAGGTTCGTACACGATGAAGTTCGAACACGTTGAAAGTTGGACATTTAACCGCCGTTTGTCGAGTCAATCGTTCAGATTTTCTTATGCAAGGATCGAACCGTGCCATTAACGTTAAAACGTTTACTTTCGACAGTTGGGAAAGCGATCAAAAAGTGGGTGTTCTCGGCTCATAAATGGAACAAACAATCTTAGAGTCGTACTCGCGCGAAATCCTGATCGAAATGCGAGGAGGTGAAGTTGTCAATGGAAGGGATCGACTTTTTGATCTCCATAATTTCAAATTACACTTCTTCTCATGATAAAATCAATATATTAAATTGTCAAGAATTTACAATTCGTAGAACATTTCATATTTTTCCCGATGATTAAAG